AATATACATTTTTCAAAGCTATTTTCTCAAATCATCCCACCCTCGTCTTTTCCCACAGAGTCTAAAAGACTATTCTTTACATCTGTGTCTCTTTTGCTGTCTCATATATAGGGTTATTGTTGTCATCTTTCTAAGTTCCATATATATGTGTTAGTATACTGTATTGGTGTTTTTCTTTCTGGTTTACTTCACTGTGTATAATAGGCTTCAGTTTCACCCACCTCATTAGAACTGATTCAAATTGATCTTTGAATCCCTGCATGGTACATAACCCACTTGCATATGAGGACATGCAAGTGTAGCATTTTTATAACAGTGAATAATATAATCAGTATAACAATATAAATACCCACCAGCTGGAGAATAAGTAAATCAATTTTAGGGTATACATCCAATGGAATATCATTGGTAGTTAAAATGAGTAAATTGTATGTGTAAGTATATGTGTGTGTAAATATAACAGTAAAAACATAATGCTGCACACAAATAAAGCCTCAGAAGAATGTTATATAATTTATAAAATGTGTAAATGCTTACACACCATACTGTATCTTGTTCATTGAAATATGGATGTTTTAAAATATAAATTGGATATTCCTGGTGGCTCAGTGGTAAAGAATCCACCTGCCAATGTAGGAGACGCAGGTTGGGAAGATCCCCTGGGGAAGGCAATGGCAACCCACTCCAGTATGCTTGCCTGGGAAACGCCATGGACTGAGGAGCTTGGCAGACTACAGTCCATGGTTTCACAGAGTTGGACATGACTTGGAGACTAAACAACAACAGCAAAATGTAAATTATGTGTAAAATACTAATTCAGAATATTTTCTAGTTCTCAGTAGAGAAAGACTAGAAAGGAATTAAAAGAAAATATAAACGGAGTTTTAAGTTACTTAGCATTAGACTAAAATCATGACATCAGGTCCCATTACTTCACGGCAAATAGTTGGGGAGACAATGGAAACAGTGACAGACTTTATTTTGGAGTGCTCCAAAATCACTGCCGATAGTGACTGCAGTCATGAAATTAAAAGACACTTGCTCCTTGGGAAAAAAGCTATGAACAACCTAGACAGCATATTATAAACCAGGGACATTACCAACAAAGGTCTGTCTAGTCAAAGCTGTGGTTTTTCCAGTAGTTGTGTATGGATGTGAGAGTTGAACTATAAAGAAAGCTAAGTGCTTTCTTTACAAAGAATTTATGCTTTTGAACTGTGGTGTCGGAGAAGGCTCTTGAGAGTTCCTTGGACTGCAAGGAGATCAAACCAGTCAATCGTAAAGGAAATCAGTCCTGAATATTCATTGGGTAGACTGATGCTGAAGCTGAAACTCCAGTACTTTGGCCACCTGATGCAAAGAACCAACTCATTTGAAAAGACCCTGATGCTGGGAGAGATTGAAGGTGGGAGAAGGGGATGACAGAGGATGAGGTGGTTGAATGGTATGACCAATGCGATGGACATGAGTTTGAGTAAGCTCCGGAAGTTGGTGATGGACAGGAAAGCGTGGTGTGCTGCAGTCCATGGTGTCGCAAAAAGTCAGACACGACTGAGCAAATGAACTGAACTGAGCATTATTTATGAATAACAATATTAATGTGAATATTAATCAATTAGTATAAATGTTAATCTGAAAAGTAATCTGACCTAATATTACTATTAATCTGAAACAACTATCAATAGAACCAGATGATGAAGTTATTTTATCTTTTCTCTTCTCTTGTAGATGTCAAATAGTAATTTTAAAATGTTAGAAATCTTTAAAGATTTTTGCTTTATGGTGGCAGGAAGGAAATTAGAACTCAGTTTAAGTTATTCAGCAAGTCAAAAAGATTTAGATAATTGAGAATTTTCAGTTCATTTTTGCTCCAGAAGTTTTAATTTCATCACAGTACCAAATTTCACAAGGAATGGTGAATATTTATAGTATATGTGGCTTTTCATACACATCTTTATTTAATTGTCAGTTTCATGTATTTGAGCTTTTCAGTGAAAAGACTGGCAGCTGAATGTTTCCATAAAGATAAGACACTTCTGAATATTTATGAATAAGCAACAATAATTCCACCAAATTGGACTAAATTGTGTTGTGTTTTGTAGTATGTGTTGTGCTTACATACTATTGTCCATGTGCATTTTCATCTACAATGCAAAGTATTATAAATTATCTTAATTTGCAAAGAATATCTCCATTATACCTCATCACCAGCAATTGCCAACCACATTTACAGAACATTCAAATTAAAGGAGGATGAATTTGGTAATAAACCTTGAAAAGAGAGCTTGATTTCCATTTTTATTTTGATAAATGATACGTGGTAAAACTCAAAAGTGGCTGAATCTTGAATAATAAACTGAATATTATGTCTGGCAGAAGGAATTCAAGCTTGTTACTTTCGAGCAGAGATATTTTAAATGCACTCTTTACTATGCAGAGTCATACAAAATATGTCCTAAAAGTTTTGTTAGTAGTTCTACCATTTCTGCTTCTGTTATTGCAAGACTGACTTGCTCAGCAACCTCTGACCTCTTGTATGACTCTGTATGAAGCTGTTTGTATTTGCCTTATTTTAACATATTTCTGCCCAAATGAGGTTGTCACAGATTACTCCATACAGGAATTTCCTGCAGTTTTTTTTTTAACTCTATCATAAATTTCAATTTTTCATCAAAATTACTTTATTTTTTTAGTTTTCACCTAGAGATAACTGCCCTGAGAATCACATTCATTCATGAACATTATTGAACATCTGTTATGTGCCAGATTTTGTGCTGTGAAGGCTTTATGGGAAAGAGAAAAAAATGAAATAAATGCAATCTATAGGAAAAAAAGAAAATAAACAAATGATTGTAAATTAATGAAAATATGTGAAATAGTTCTATTGGTTGGCAAAGGAAGGAAAGATAAAGAACCCTTCAAAGAGACTAAGAGGAGGCTCCTTATGTTCTCTAAGAACTAAGGTAGCCCTCAACATACAGAAATTAAAGTATAAATTTGGTACTTTTAGCTGTACATTTCTGGTAATTGTATGCTTGTTTTGATCAGTACTACAAGTTAATGACTTGTCATCAGTGAGCTAATACATGCTTTTTTGCTTTCTAGTTCAAATTTAGATTAATTTGATCAAGAATCTATGCCCACAAAAGAGATACAGATCTCTTTTTGATTATCATATGATTTAAGATGCACAAAAGTTATTCTCTTCTCCAATATTATTTGTCTTGAAATCATAGATTTCCCTCATCCATGGAGCTATCTAGAATTTTATCATAGTCCTCTAGTCTCAGAAGTTATAACTGATGTAATTTAACATCTAGTTGGGAAATAATGATGGACAAGGAAGACTGGCAGACTGCACACCATAGGATCACAGAGAGTTGGACATGACTTAGTGACTGAACAACAACAAGCAGTTAATTATCTATCTCATTATATAATTTATCTTGTTGTTATTATTATTGTTTAGTGGCTAAAGTCAAGTCTGACTCTTTTGTGACCCCATGGACTGTGGTCTTGCCAGGCTCCTCTGTCCATGGGATTTCCCAAGCAAGGATACTGGAGTGGGTTGCCATTTTCTTCTCCAGAAGATCTTCCTGACTCAAGGATCAAATCTGTGTCTCTCACATTGGCAGGCAAATTCTTTGCCATTTTGTCACAAGGAAAGCTCATCATTTAACTTAACATTTATAGAATTTATAAAACACTAAGTACTGAAGAATTCTATAACTAGAAGATTTAGATTTTTGTAACTAGTGTCATATTTGATTTACCTTCTGAAGTACCCTTTTCTAGTTCTTTCAGGACCTTAGGTGCAAATTGTGCTATGACTGTTTCATTTTTAATATTCACCTTTATTAATTTTATTCTAAATAGGCACACTAGGTGTACTGGATCTAAAGAGATCATTAATTAAGTGATAGAATTGATGAATTAAATATAATAATGGTAATAAGTATGTCAGCATCCCTTTGACCTAGTCCTTACCTCTGTAGTAGCACAATGAAAATCAGATGGAAGAACATACCACATGACCAGGGACAGGGAACAAAGAAAAATGGGCTTGCTGTGCTTGAGAGAGCTATCTCTCTCTCTCCTCGCCTGAAAGGAGGAAGAAAAAATTTTGCTCTTCGGAGATGGGATAGAAATAATTCTGTTCTTATTCTAACCTTAGTAATGTAAATTTAGGGTTTCAACAGTCAGATTAACCTCCTGTGTCTCCAGTTTTATAATATAGAGATTTCTGTAAATTCCTGGGTCTCATTCTTCCTGAAAATGGAAACACAGACCCCCTCCAGAAGTACCTTAATCTCTCTGGATTTCTCTCACTACTTATATAAACATATCTTCTCAAGATCACAAGCTTCCAGCTAAAGTCATGTGGAAAGTCCCAACTCTTCAGAAATCAAAAATGTTTATTTTTATGAACTACTTTTTTTTCTTGTGATAAATTTTGAGAGTTGTATATTCTGAAGGCAGAATATAAAAATTCAGAGTTCTTCAGACTGATTACTGGGTTATGTTAACTCTTGCTAGTTATTTTAAATATGTCTGTTTCATTTTCTTCCAAGACTATAAAAATAAAGCAAACTAAAGTTATGTTTGCATTGGACGTATTTGTTACCTCAACAGTTGTGGTTTCACATATTTTACATGCATTTTAAACTTTTCATGTTTTGATCCTAATAGTTACATTGGTCATAATCTATTAGTTGCAAAGCACTTGAAGCAGGCAAGAATGTTAGTACTATAACATGTTATGATATAGTCATAGAGACCATAGGATAGCATTGCTAAATTTGAATAATACAACAAGTTTTAATTTTTTGAGGGGAAAAAAAACTCTCTCTGGTGGCTGTATGCTATCAAAATTAAATATTTTAAGTAATAAAATAGGGAAAAGTATGTAATCATATTAAAAGCAATAAGAGGGGTGATTTGTGCAGTTTTAAATCCTCCTGTTAAACTTTGTCTTTAATAAATTTATATTCTTCTCATAGGTTTTGAACTTTCACATTGTGAGGATCCTGGCATTCCACAATTTGGATACAAAATCAGCGACCAAGGGCATTTTGCTGGTAGCACTATCATTTATGGATGCAATCCAGGCTACACTCTCCATGGAAGTAGCCTTCTCAAGTGCATGACAGGGGAGAGAAGGGCATGGGACTATCCTCTGCCATCCTGTATTGGTAGGATACTGTTTTAGGTTTTCTTGCAATATTTCTATGGAAGTGTTATTAAAATATACTGTACCTTTTCAAGTTATTATATCTGTCCACACCCAACTCATACCTTAATCAAAAAGTTAATGAATACATAGCTCAAATTTGTGGTAAGTCAAAGGGTTCTTTTCATAATCAATGAGTACATTCTCCTTTGGGGCAAAAAATAGTTCATATGAAGTCATTATACTTATCCTATCTTGATATAAAATTTAACTCACTACAAAATATGTTGAAACTCTTAATCATACACATTTACTGAATCTCATTGACCAGATTTGTTTTAATATACAAAATTAATGCTTATGCTGGTATAAAGGTTAATTAAAAAACCTAAATATTCTCAATAACTTCAAAGACATTCTCTATATACATACCTTTTCAAAAACTAAGAAAGTGTATATGTTTTCCTTATTTTATGTATCATGACATAATTAAATGAATTTCAATAAGAAAAGGCATGTGAGAGTTAGTCATGTAAGATATATTGCCTACATGAAATTTTAGAATGATCATTTTCTCTACTATGTATAGCTGGAGAAGAATTTTATTACTACCATCTCATAAATCAATTAACAAATAACTGGGCATATGTGAGAAAGAGGGTGGATAGAAAGGTGTTGATAAAGACCTCTGCTTTTTTTTTTTTTTTTTTGGTCCAAATATAGATGCCAGGCTGGATGGAATACCAGGACAACAAAAGGAAAAAAAAAAAAACAAAAACAAACATTTAAACAAAACACAAAGTCCTCAATAGGGAACAAACAAGATTCTCTAATGATTCTTATTTAATGGCAGTTGTGGTGGCACAAATACATTCTGTGTCAGGCTCATATGGATAAAATTGACTTAATTTTTAAAAAGATATATTAAGGTGTAATTCATATTGAAAAAATTCCACGTTTAATGTATACAATGTGATGATTTGGAGACCTGAACATTTTGAGATATATTTTAATGTTTGTTAATTGATATAGTCAAAACAGGAATTTTCACAAAACTTGATAGACTTCAAATAGGAAAGAAATGAAATTCTAGTTATTAGAGGTCTTGCAACTAATTGTAGTGTTTTTTATAACATGAGACATCTATTGGTTTGTTAAAACATTGATGAGTGGAAAGCAAACATTCTTTTATCCAACCAAAATGCAATTATAGTGCTTTCCTTTCAGATGCATCTGAATTTTGGATAGATTATGAGGATAAACCTAAAATAACAATCACCCTAAATTGACACAGCTTAGGATTCTGGAATATGACCAACAATCAACCTGCTGGCATTGGTTATGAGAAAAATGTACAATTATTAATTCTCTCTGAAGTTATATTCTTTGGTGTGAATATCAAATATATTCAGAAAATCATTACGGATTTCTATAGCACAAAACTATAAACTTAAAAATACTGACTTGCTCTGTTGTCTGTAAAATTAAAATCACAAACTAATACATTAAAAAATATATATTTTCCTTATATGTTGAATCACGCTGAAGACATTTTAATTTTTTGGGAAACTTCATGCAAATAGAAGAACATTTGATCTAGGATCAGAAGATTTAATTATTTTTGTGACAAATTAATGCATTTTATGAATCTGCCAAGACAAAATTTAGTAATACCACTACTCAAGCCTTCATGAGATGGGTAACTTTTTTTTTTAATGATAGATGATCACGAATAAAAGCTTAAAACAGCTGGACACATAATGTGTCATACTGATGATTTTCATGACAGTAGAAGATGAAATTCTATTTAAGATGGTGTTCTTTACTGTCAATAATTAGCAGCTTTACCACTTGGCCTAAAATCATAATTATCCATTCCTATTAACCTTAATAATCTATTATGGTTATATTTTTGCCTTGGTCAAATAAGAAACTTTTTCTTAATTATATGGATTTTTCTAGGTAATTATGCTTCTGTAGCTTATACATTGAGCAAACAAAAATTAATTTTTAGGCCAAAGGTATGTAACCTGCACACCTTCAATTTTATCTGCAAACATAAGACTTCTGACAGAATATGAACTCCAGTGTTACAGCATATCACACTGGTTTATTTGAAATCAAATAGCCAAGTAATATTTGTAACAAGGAAATATGGAGAAAGAAAGAACTATGTTTAAATTCAATATAAAAACAGTTCTCAAAGCTCCAATTCTTGGAGTTGCTTAAAATTAATCTGGCAGATTGTTGTTTTTGTTCAGTCGCCCAGTTATGTCCAACTCTTTGTACCCCATGGACTGCAGCATGCCCGGCCTCTGTGTCCCATGGCATCTCCCGAATTTTGCCCAAGTTCGTGTTCATTGCATTGATGATGCCATCCAGTCATCTCATCCTCTGATGCCCTCTTCACCTACTGTACTCAGTCTTTCCCAGCATCAGGGACTTTTCCAGTGAGTCAGCTGTTCAAATCAGATGACCAAAATACTAAAGCTTCAGCTTCAGCATGAGTCCTTCCAGTGAGTTTTCAGGGTTGATTTCCCTTAAGATTGGCTGGTTTGATCTCATTGCTCTCTAAGGGACTTTCAGGAATCTTCTCCAGCACCATAGTTTGAAGGCATCAGTTCTTTGGTGCTCTGCCTTCTTTACAGTTTAGCTGTCACAACCATACATGACTAATAGGAAGATCATAGCCTTGACTATACAGACCTTTGTCAACAGAGTAATGTCTCTGCTTTTCAACACACTGTCTAGGTTTGTCATAGCTTTCCTGCCGAGAGGCAATCATCTTCTGATTTCATGGCTGCAGTCACCATCCACAGTGATTTTAGAGCCCAAGAAGATGAAATCTGTCACCACTGTCACCTTTTCCCCTTCTATATGCCATGAAGTAATGGGACTGGATGCCATGATCTTAGTTTGTTAATATTTAGTTTTCAGCCAGCTCTTTCACTGTCTTCCTTCACCTTCATCAAGAGTTCTTTAGTTCCTCTTTGCTTTCTGCCATTAGAATGTTGTTATTCAGTTGCTCAGTCATATCTGACTCTTTGCTACCCCATGGACTGCAGCACACCAGGCTTCCCGTCCTTCACCATCTCCTGGAGCTTACCCTTAAAATGATATCATCCTCGTATCTGAGATTGTTGATGTTTTTCTTGCTTATCTTGACTCCAGCTTGTAACTCATCCAGCTTGGCATTTCTCATGTGTTCAGCATATAGGTTAAACAAACAGGGAGACCGCAGACAGCCCTGTTGTACTCCTTTGTCAATCTTGAACCAACAATTTGTTACATTCAGGGTTCTAACTGTTGTTTATTGACCTGCATACAGGTTTCTCTTGAAACAAGTAAGATGGTCTGGTATCCCCAGCTTTTTAAGAGCTTTCCACAGTTTGTTATGATCCACATAGTCAAAGGCTTTAGTGTAGTCAATGAAACAAAGATAGACGTTTTTCTGGAATTCCCTTGCTTTCTTTATGATCCAGCGAATGTTGACAATTTGATCTCTGGTTCCTCTTCCTTGTCTAAACCCAGCTTGGACAACTGGAAGTTCTTGGTTTGCATAATGCTGAAGCCTAGCAAGTAAGATATTAAGCATGACCTTACTAGAATGGTGGACGAGTGCAGTTGTCCAACGGTTAGCACCTTCTTTAGCACGCATTCTTTAGTACGACCCTTCTTGGGAACTGGGATGAGGATTGGCCTTTTCCAGTTCCTGTGGCCTCTATTCGGTCTTCCACAGTTACTGACATATTGAATGCATCACCTTAAGCGTATCATCCTTTAGGGTTTTGAATAGCTCTACTGGAACCCCATTTATTAACAGCAGTGCTTCCTAATACCCACTTGACTTTGCACTCTAGAATGTCTGGCTCTGGATAACTGACCACAACATCGTAGTAATCCCTTCACAGATCACTGTCTTGTCATGGCTAAGGGCCTTGCATAGGCCAGTGAAGCTATGAGCCATGCTGTGTAGGGCTGCTCAAGACGGTTGGGTCATAGCAGCTAGTTCTGACCAAATGGGATCCACTGGAGGAGGGAATGGCAAGCCACCCCAGTATACTTGCCATGAGAACCTCATGGATTGTATAAAAAGGACAAGTCTGGCAGAATGAAGTATCAAATTTGTTCTCCTCAGAAATATGTCAACAATAGTGAATAAATCATTAAAAATGATGAAAAATGAATTATTACAGTTAGAGCATTCTAGGTTGCCCAACAAAGTTCTTGTTACAAAATGAGAAAAACCACAGTAAGTGACGGTAACTTCTTAAATATATATATTTTATTTGTCTTAAAAATAACACATTTATTATTATAAATTAAATTAAACTAACATTATAATACAAAATAAACTTGCTTAGTCCTCTATAGGTGTGTATATCAGTCAGGGTTCACCAAAGAAAAAGAATCAATACATCTTTATGTGATCTATTTAGCTATCATCTATCAAAAATGTATTTATTTATACTGAGGAATTAACTCATGCAGTTGTGGGGGCTGACAAGTTCAAAATCCATAGGGAAGATCAAAACTAGGAAACTAGGGCAGGAATTAATGATGCAGTCTTGAGGGAAAATATTTTCCAGAAAACTCAGTTTTCATTGTTAAGGCCTTCCAATTGATTGGATGAAGGCTACCCACATTATCAAGGGTAAAGTCAGCTGATTGTAGGTGTCAATCAGGTCTATAAATAGCAACACCTAGACTAGTGTTTGATAAAATAACTGGGTACTACAACTCGGTCAAGTTGACACATAAAAATAACCTTAATATTATACTAAAATATAACATCTAAAATCTTTGAAGCAATTTTATCTCTATGAATAGAGACTACAAATTTGAACCATGATATTCAGTTGTTATTCAGTCTTTTCTGAGTGCTGAAACTTTGTCTTTGACCTTTGTTCTAATAATCAAGACAAAACAAAAATTCAAGATGCTTAGTTCAGCATTGCATTTGAGTAAGATAATAACTGCAGAGAACAAGAAAAATAAATGTAGTAATATATTCAAATATATAAGCAAAAGTAAAATACCTTGGATTTAGTTTTATTTTTTGGTAGTATAGTAATTTGGAGAACTTTCAAAAATATATTATTATACCTTGTGGTTTTTAGGATATAGAGAAGAAGAGTAATATACTAAGTAAACTACTTTATTTCTCTCTTCTCTAACAAGAGGATTCTTTCTATATATATTATTTGCTTATCAATGTAAAATCATTCCAGTTTTCCTAATATATTAAATATTATTAAAATGGAGAGGGAATTCCACAAAAGATATATTTTTTAAATTATATTGTATGATGATGTTTACATTTTTAATTTGGTGAGTTTTATAAAAATTAGAGACTACTTTAAATCAAAATGGAACCAGGTTTAACTGAAGTAAAATCTAATAAAAATGCCACTTTGACTTTTGGGAGGTTAAAAGCAAAAGAGTTTATAGTGATTGAAAGGGGAATAAGAGGACAATGAAATTTAGAAGGCCTGAGGGACCTGCAGTAAAGCTTAGAGGTAAGGTAGTAAGATGATGAATTAGTTAGCCTACAACCAGCTATAAGTGAGCACCTTGCCATCTGTTTCCCCTTGTTACATTAATGTTATTTTGCCATACATCTTAAAAAGTTTGAAGCCTAAACTCAGAGCTTTTGACTGTGTACTTTTAAAATTCCCTAATTGACTTATTGTATTTTCATTTATATGATCTAACTTGAAATACTAATTTTAGTGTGCAATGTGTTCTTACTTTAATTAATACCTTAATCTGAGAAAGCATATACACATATATACTTTCAATAAGAGGAGAAATCAATCCTTATTCCTTCAGGTGAAAAATATATACTCGAAAAATTTGTAGATGTTTAGAAAGATTAAACTGTGATTTAAAATTGATTTAATTTTTTCTAGCTGAATGTGGAGGTCGTTTTAAAGGAGAATCATCAGGAAGAATTTTATCTCCTGGTTATCCCTTTCCATATGACAATAATCTGCGTTGCATGTGGATGATTGAGGTAGATCCAGGAAACATTGTCAGGTAAATGGATTTTATATTTTCAAAATGACTAAGGAATCTGAATTTCCTGATCACACCCTATAAACAATTAACATTAAGATTTTTCTTTATTTTTTTTGTTTTAACCATTGGTAAAGAAAAACATGGTTTTTATCTATTATAAAATGGGGGGGATATTGATAAGCATGACATATTAATTCATAGGCCACAGCATTGGTTCGTATATCCCCTTAGAAACTCTTCAGTTAGAAGAGAGCACAAAAGATGAGAATTTTTCATGCTGCTTGGGAGTTCTACTCTTTCGATTCTTCATGATTTAAGATGCTGTAGTTAAGATGCAAAATTTAAGATGCTGAATTCAACAGAATTCTGAGATTTTTAAAAATTAAAGAATTTTTGATATTAAATTGTAACCCAGATTTAAAGCTGTGACAATTCGCATATCAAACATGGATGTGTTATATATGTATATATGTATATATATATATATATATATATATATATAGAGAGAGAGAGAGAGAGAGAGGCAAAGAGAGTTGAGTGTGTTGATATAATTGGATTTCTAACTTTTGGATTAGGCACAAGAAAATTTGATATAAATTTTGACTAGATTAGACTAAAGCAAAATAGATTTAATATGAAGCATTTTTTTTCTTTTATGTGCATTTTTGTGGTGGGGGCCATTTTCACATTCAGGAAGTTTCCTTTCACTTTACTTCTTTTTTGAATGTGAACTGTTTTTGCATTTGTGGAGTAAATCTTTGATTCTGATAAAACAAACACACTAAAAACTTGATACAGTGGCAATAACACATACTATGGCATTAGATAACTTGAGTTCAATTCATGACTCTGCCACCCTTAGGGCAATCTTATTTAATCTGAATCCCACTTGCCACCTTTGTAAAATTGAGATGAAACTTGTTCTTGCTTCACTGGGTCATTATAACAATTAAAGGAAGAAAATAGATGTAATGCATTTTACACAGTGTGTGGCACATATGAGCTCCTCTTAAATGTCACCTGTCATTGCCACAATTAAGTCATGAACACTGAAAAGAATGTATAGGTAGGTCTTCCTTGGGTTACATGCTGATAAACTGAACATAAGTCGAAAATGTCATAAATTGAAAATGCTTTGGGGAGTTCCCAATAATATCACTAATTTACCAAAATCATCACTCACCCTCGCCTACTCTAAACATGCTCAGAGCATTTATATTAGTCTACAGTTGGGCAAATCATCTAAACTGAACTCTATTTTATAATAAAGTATTGAGTATCTCATGTAATTTTATTGAATACTATACTGAAAATGAAAAACAGAACTGTTTTATGAGTGCATTATGGTTGTAAATGTGTTGGTAGCTTGTTTTTGTGATCTTGTGACTGACTGGGAACTTAGTTCCCTGGCGCTGACCAATGTCATGAAAGAGAATCACAACTTGGAAAAGATCAAAATTCAGAGTACAGTTTCTACTAAATGTGTATCTCTTCTGTACCATCTTAAAGTCAAAAATTTCTAAATTGAATCATCATATGTCAGGGATGGTCTGTATACCTAAAGTTTTTATAATTGCAGAATTTATATAATAGTATATTTAATCCTATTCTAAAAAATATACTGTTCAAGAAAAATGCATTTAGTTTGTATATACATTTTGCATTATTCATTTTATTTGATAGAATAAAAGGAATATCTAGTATAAGCAAAGATGTTTTATAGTCTTTATTTAAAACTGGATCCATGTTTAAAATAATCAGAGATATATGGTTCTCCCACAGCCTACAGTTTCTTGCTTTTGATACGGAAGCATCACATGATATACTCCGAGTTTGGGATGGTCCACCTGAAAATGAGATGCTTTTAAAGGAAATTAGTGGATCTCTTATTCCTGAAGGAATCCATAGCACTCTCAACGTAGTGACCATTCAGTTCGACACAGATTTTTATATCAGCAAATCTGGATTTGCAATTCAATTTTCAAGTGAGTTGGTTTTTTTAAAATAAAAAATATAGAAATGTTACTTAAATCCTTGTTACTTTACTACTTAAAAACTTTCATTTTTAAAATTTTAATTATCTTAATTCTTTTAATTTTATTTTTTAATTGGAGGAAAGTTGCTTTACAATGTTGTGTTGTTAATTATCTTAAATATCCTTATTTCTCTTCTTATTCATCTGGAGTTAAGATAAACCATAGGCAAAAGAAATACAATTAAGTTCTAATTAATTCATTCATTATTGGTACCTTCTCCCCAATTATCATACCAATTTTCCTTAAAGTAAAGGTGGTATTAAAGTTAATTCATCAAGTGAAATAATTACATTATGCAAACTGATAATTTGAATTTACTATAAAAGTATATTTTAAAATGTAAAATTTTTAGAGATAAGGAAGGAAATGAGTATTTGCCATTACAAAAAGCAACCCTGCATTTTTAGTAATTTTATTTTCTTCTGTTAAAAATCTTAATTATATATTCACAGAAAACTTTGACAAAATATTTTAAATCTATTTTTACATTAAAGATTTCCTACCACAATGAAATGCCGTTCACTCTAATTACCAGTGTTGATGGCTGTTTTTTTGTTTTTTTTTTTGCTAAGTGGTTAATTATATGCTGTTTCTTAAAAAAGATTTTGGTTTAGTGGCTGAAAAAAATAAATGGGAACTCAAAAAATTTTAGTTGCTTTTTTTTCACTATTATTATTAACACACATTATCTCTTTGAGAAAAATATCTAAGGGATCTTCTAATTGCATAGCCTTAGAAATCCTAGTAGTTGAAACTTATTGAGATTTCTAACATCATCTATGGAAAGAGTGCAGACCAGTATTCTTCATATATGCCTTAATTCAAATCTTGGCTTCTTAACTAATTGCTGATTTTGGGCACTTCACCTCATCACCTGAGTCTGAGCTCTCTAATTCACATAGGGATAATGATGCTTATTTCATAAATAGATTATTAAAATTTAATATGATCATGTGTGCACAGTACTTAGTATTGAATAAATAGTTGGTGCCCAGTGAACTATTATCACTATATGAATAAATGTAAAATTGGAATCCTTTGGAAAAAGCATGAAGAATTTATTTAATGACTGGCCTGAAAATACATCACTTTAAGTTAACAACTAACAATACAAATATATAATTAACTTGATATGTTTTTTGTTCGTGAAAGATGATTGTTTGGCATAATCAGCTAACATAAGTAAATGAATTGTTTTGTGTTATAAATAAGGCTCATGTGAGCGAGGTTTACATCAGTATAGGTGAGTCACTGTCTTTAGATTTGCACCCTTAGTATATCTTTTGAGACAGGAAAAAAAAGGAAGAGAATGATTATATAATTAATGAGCATAAAGGACTTCTAATTCTGAAATATACATTAAGCATTTTTCATATTTATATCTTGACTTTCTAATTATTTTGAAGCTAGGGACAATATGTCAGCAAACTGTTTGTGATATCTGTTTGATTTTAGTTATTTATGATGATAGTTTGGCAACTAACAACTCTCCTTTCATTTACCTTAAATTAGTAAGGTTTTACACTTTAGTGGTTATTGTGATTAAATATCTAAATGCAATCATATGAAAAGGTGCTTCAGGTTATTGTTTGTGAATGCCAAGTGTATCCACTTAATAGAAACAAGCTGCTTTATATGCATTTCTGGAAATTTTAATGTGCATCTGTCAGTGAAATTGGTAATATATTTTTTACATTTATTGTATCTATAGGTCATATTAAAGTTATAGAAACAATGTGTATCCTACCAGAGTTTTAATAAATCTGCCTTCATAATATTCTTTTAAGATGCATAGAAATATGTATCATTTATCAGAGACTAAAACTGATTCACTATAATAAAATTACCTTTATAGTTAATATATTGTGAATAGCATCAATTCAGATTTCAAATGCGGAAGGTTTGTTTGTTTGTTTGTTTTTTCATGAATGATTTCTTGCTTGGTGCCAAGAATCACATTGTGCTGTGCATAGTCACTCAGTTGTGTCTGACCCTTTGTGACCCCTTAAACTGTAGCCCACCAGGCTCCTCTGTCCATGGGGATTCTTCAGGCAAGAATACTGGAGTAGGTTGCCATGCCATCCTCCTGGAGATCTTCCCAACCCAGGGATTGAACCTAGGTCTCCTGCATTGCAGGGGGATTCTTTACGTCTGAGGCACCAGGGCAGCCCGTTAAGAACAATGTTAAGTGCTTTGCGTACGGTGGTCTCATTTAATGCTCACAGAGGCCATATGAGATACACTGTGCTGATGCTCAGTGCTAGTAGTGTCCAGCTCTTTGTGACCCCATGGACTGTAGCCCACCAGGCTCCTCTATCCCTGGAATTCTCCAGGCAAGAATACTGGAGTGGGTCGCCATTTCCTTCTCCAGGGAGATACTATGTCATCCCCATTTACCAAAAAAAAAATACACTGAGGTTCAGAGAGTGAGTTAATTTATTCAAGGTCATACCCTAGCAGGTGTTTGCAACTGTAGCTCAAATCCACCTCTGTCTGAAAGGAGATTAACACTGTTCCTGGTGCTTAGTAAATACCTAGCTGTCACTATTGCTCATTAATATTCCAGAGGAAAGTCAAAGATCTTAGCTATATTTATTAGTTACAGTGAAGTTCTACAATTTCATCAGCTTATCTTCTGATTATGCTCCCAAGAACCGCATCTAAGGTCACACTTCCAAAAAGCAGGTGATTTATACAAGTGAAGAAGTAAGAAGAAAGAAAAGTGGTAGTATGTGCATTCTCATTTAAAAGGGACATTTACCCCCTCTGGCTATCATCATTTCGCCCTATAGGAAGAAAGATTCATTTTAAAGTGGAGATTGAAATATATTTTATGTAAAGTCCTCTGATTGTCAAAGAAAGCTACTAATCTTGAAGAGATCATTAAGGTACTATAGTCCAGTAAATCACTTCTGTAGGTCAAATTTGGCTTGTAGGTCAGAATTTGCCACTTCAGTGCTTTATCAGAATTTCCCCTTTTCCTCAAATAAATCTGTCTCATGTTACCCACTTGTTTGTTTGTCTGTTCAGTCTAGGGGAGTCTATTAAAGGACCAGATGTTAAGCATATTTATCTCCAAGTGTTCCTCAAGTGCATCTTTCCTTTCACCCAAGCAATCATCTTAGTTACATACACACACACACACACACACATACCCTATACTGTTTTCTGTCCTTAAAGTTTTTTTTTTACTTTAAATGTTTTCCTGCTCTTTTTTTCATAAATCTTGCACTTTCTTCTAGACTTGGCACCAAGAACTCTATTATAAAATGTTTTCTGACCTCTCCATGAAATATTTAAAAATGTTTATAAGACCATCTATTTTTTAAAGCTTTCTCTGACCTCTCTTTATAAAATGCATTCTCTAGGCACTTGCTATAGTTTCTTCCAAGTAAAGATGAGAAAACATGTATTATCTGTTCACTGTTCCAAAGATGTTTTAATTATGTGAACTTTGCCTCTCTAAATGTCTGTAAAGAACAAACATTTTATTCAGGGTGATCATGTAATTTATTATTCATATCTAAGATGATTTTTGAGAGTAACAGGGGACATTGTTAGAAATTAAGCTGAACAACAGCTGTAAACTAGAACAATACTATCCAAGTCAGTTTGTATCATTATTTTAATTGAGTCAGGTATGCATTCTGTTAGCTTTCCACTCTCCATCACCATCACAATGCCTGTTCCTCTTTTGAGTGAATAGCTGTCAAATAATAAATAAAAAAGGGATGAGACAGCCAATAGTAGAAAAATAATCTTAAGCAACAAAATACAATCAAAATGTATTTCAGTCAACTTGGTACAAAGTGAGTGTAACTGAAATGTAGGTCCCATACCAACTTCATAATCATTGTCAAGACACTATCAGCAGCCTCATGCCTTCTATTTTACAATCTACGCATTCTTTATAGTCTGTCACTTTGCCACTTGGTGTTAGAGTCTGCAAGGCACTTTTGCTTAATCAGAGTTTCTTAAGTCTGACATTGCCACCTCATGCTGTCCTATGTTCTGTCATTGGTTCTCAGCAGTAAGCCTCTATATCCCCTACTTAAATTTGCAATCTGCTTGTCTCATCCCACTTTAGTTCCTCAGGGAGGATATCTTTAGGTATCATGCTGTCATTTGCCCACAGAATAGTTGATTTTGACAGAGCATTTTCTATGTTCTTCACTTTTAACCTCTTTGTTAAGAATTTGCCCCTGCTGGATAATACAAGATACTAAGGCCCAAAACATAACTGTTGAAAATATTCAAGGAGATGGATTCCTTAATTATGAGAGGTTGATGTCTCTGGCCTTAAAGAACTGTATGGTGCCCTTGCATTCATCCCCATTCTCATTGCTGCTTGCATTGCTGTAGCCACTCACTTCATTATCTGTAGCTAGACTTTTGTCTATATTTCCAACTGACTAATGTTTTGAAAACATAAATCAGACATTCCTCTTCTGTTTAAAATTTCTTAATGGCTACAAAGTCATAAATTTAAAATTGTGAAGTTATGTTTAAAGCAATTTGCACCCAAATTACCTGCCAGCTTCATCCCTCACTATTCAGTTACATACATCTAGTTGTCTAACTGTACCATCCTGAGGAGACATTGGCCATTCACATTTCCAGCTCTATTGCAAGCTTTCTTCCATGTTCCTAGTACATTTATGTCCACATTAAAAAATCCATAATTCTTAGTCATTTTCCAAAGCCCAGGTCAAATGATACTTTCATTACTGATGAACTTCTAGACAGAATCAGTCACTTTTTTTTTTAATTAGCTGGAGGCTAATTACTTTACAATATTATAGTGGTTTTTGTCATACATTGACATGAATCAGCCATGGTTTTACATGTATTCCCCATCCCGGTCCCCCCTCCCACCTCCCTCTCCGCCCGATCCCTCTGGGTCTTCCCAGTGCACCAGGTCCGAGCACTTGTCTCATGCATCCAACCTG